CCACCACTGCTCCAGATCGATGTTCTGTGATTCCCCAAGAGATAGCTAGGTTAGTTTTTCATTACACAGTGGCACTGAACCAGTAGCAGAAATTTTGAGTAGTTCGGAGAACTGGTAAATACCACCTCTGGCTGCCCCGCCCCCATCTATTCTCTGCCTCCGGAGTCCCAGCTGATCAGGAGGGAATGGGGATTTTGCAGTAACCTTCCCATGCTATGCCCACCAAGCCACTTTTACTACTATTACTTCAGTAAAACATTTTGAATCCCACCACTGCCTCCGTTATGGGAATCCGTGGGCCTCCTGGCAAAGTGCAGCACTTGCTTCATCATATCAAGACTGTCCCTCTAATTAGGGTGTTGGTGTTAATTACACCTGCAGGGATCTTTCAAAGCTCCCTTGCCAAACAGCAAGTGTCCCGGTCTGGCTAGCTCCAATGCAGCCTCCCTTCATCTGCAGTGAGGCTCAAAGATTGAAGCCAGGTCTGCAGGGCTGTTCAGGACCAAATGGCTTCCATTCCCCTTGCTGGGTCTTAAGGGTGGAAAACAAAAACAAAGCAGATCTTGACCTAGGCAGAGCTTGCTTGTTTGGTTCCTTTGTTTGTGTTTGTTTTCCAAGGTGTTGCCTGGAGGGTGCGCGCACGCTGTGTGTGTGTGTGTGTGTGTGTGTGTGTGTGTGTGTGTGCGCGCACGCATAAGGGTGGGGAAGGGAAGCTGTTTTTCTTGCTCTGCTCTTCCTATATGAAGAGGATCTGCCGTTTAACAGGCAGATCCTCTATTTGGCTCTGCCCTCAAGCCCAGACTAATATTAGGGGGCTCCACTCCTTTGCCCTCCCAACCACCCAGGCTTAATTCCTTGATTTGGAGGACTCTACCTCCCCTCCCCATCTTTTTTTCATTTGGAAGAGTTGGCAGTCCTGGGTCTTAACAAAAAGCACTCTCCCTGTTCCTCAAAGGGGGTTTCCTGGATGCCTTGTGACAATGGGGCAGAGCATCTGATTTTTTCCTGCCCTGATTTGCAGAGGAAATTAGTGCAATGTTGGTGCTCTTGATTAGATTCTCAGAGGAGGAGAGAACTAGTTGCAAAGATGATCCGACAGAAGGTGGAGCAACCTTTTCCACCCTTCCTTAAGAAGGGGTGAATCCAGATGGAGCGTTATCAATCAAAACAATTGATTTGTAGCACCTAGTGGTGTTACAGCATCGAATTATGTGACCAGCCTCGAATTATGTGGAAGAGGCAAGGCAATTACACCATAAAAATGGGTTGTAAGCAGTCAGGGAGCATCTCCCTTTATTTCTCATTTAGCAGTGAATTTTCTGAGTAATATTTGCTAGTTAACTCGATTCACAGCAGGTAGAGCATAGGAAGCTTTTCTTTTCTCTTTTTATTTCCTTCCCACCTGTAGATTCAGATATCGGAGCTGAAGGTAAGGAAACCTGCTTACCCATATTTAATGGCCAGACACCAATGGCTTGAAAATAAGGTTGCTAGTGGCACTATAAGAACAGCCTTTGAAGTGTGACAGCTGTGAAAACAAAGCTGGCTGCTCTTCTTGTAGACAAACATGGATTATAGCCAAGCATATGTATGTGAGTACATGTGCCACCAGATGGGCATATAGGCACTGGGGTGCCTCAAGGCTGCCTAGGGCTATAGCTTTACAAAATATCCAGTCTTTGATTAAAACAAGATGATTGCACCCTAGGAAATTTTAGAATCCAATGATGGATGAGAGGAGGCCGAGAACAGTTTTAATGAGCACGAAAACCTTTGTTCTAGAGGGGATTGTTGTGTAAGTCTACTGAAGCAAAAGCAACAGTGAATCCAGTGGCACCTTGCAACAGGCATATTAACATATGAGCTCATGTGATACTCAGTGCATCCATTTTTAAGGTGTTACAAGATTCTTTATTGTTTCTACATCTTAACCCAAATAGGTAATCACAAAAAGGCAATAAAATAACAAACTAGAAATGATCCACCAATGAACAATGACAATAAAACACCAGCCAATTGTTCTGGTAAACTCTTCTGCCTATTCTTTGAATCTAAGTTTTATCTGCTTTCTGATTTAAATTTACTTATTTCTCAATTTAATTTTGTCTTTTTCTACATGGACTCTCAGATCTCTTCTATTACAGTTTCTGGCTTCATTACCAATCAGCGGAGATATTAGCAGAGAACTATGGGTTCTGTATTCCAACAGATCTGGAGTGTGCAGGATGGAAATTTGATGTATTTGCTTAATTGTTTAAAAAGAAATAGCACAGCTTTCAAGGTAACTTAGTGCCAGATTAAACATTATAAAAACAAAACAAAAAAGCTGCAATAGATCTAATTTATTAGATTAAAAAACGCTGTCATTTCATGTTGGCAATTGAGACCTGGGAATTCAGAGTAATTAGGGGAAAAACTGGGTTTCCCCCCCCCCCTTGACTTGAAAAGAAGCAGGAAAAATCTTACCTAATTAATAATAGGTTTCTCCTCTTCTTTCCCCAGACATGGAAATTGTTTTAGAGACATATAAAATAGTGAATTGGCTGTTGAACTTGTCTTTCTTTTTCCAATTTTCCAGCTGTCCTCAATTGACCTCCTCCCTGCTATTTCGCTAGATGTAATGCTCTTTCCCTTCAGTAGTGGGACAGTTCTGAGATGTGAAGGCTCATGGGAGGAATCTTTATTCCAAGCATTTGTTCCAGAACCTTGAGACCAGGACATCAGGAACAAGAAAAGGGGGAAATCCCAATTCAGATACCATAATCGGAGCATTGCTTTATAATATGGCAGACTTGGGCTACGCTTACACTCCTGCATACTCCAAAGCATTATTTGGAGACTGAATATGAAATGCTGCAGAACTGGGGCTCAAACTCTGGGCTCATTTAGCCTATAATAGTGGGCTGCTGGAAGAGAAAACAGGCTTCCAGAGGTAGTTGAACCTTACCTGATCAGTAAGCTCTTGAGGGCTTGGGTACTTTTGACCAGTCCTTTGCTCCCAGCCAGTGGTGGGTTTCAAAAATTGTTAGAACCTACTCTGTGGGTGTGGCCTCCTTTGTGGGAGTGGCTTGCCGCCCATGTGACCAGATAGGAGTGGCTTGCCACCCATGAGACCGGATATGAAGATGCTGACACCACTTGTCAGAACCACCTTAAATTACCTCACACACAGCACTGGCATGCATAAAAATATGATGTCAACTTGTTTTTTAAAAGGCATCTTTGGTTTGCGTTAAAACAACTTCAACACACGCAATGTTCTAATTGCACCACAAACGCAATAGTCATCCTTACCTTTCACAGAGGCACTGAGTTTTATAAATATGAGCATGATAGCGTAGAATAATCATTTCCAAGGACCAGTGGTGTGTTTCAAAAATTTTTGGAACCTCTTCTGTAGGTGTGGCCTGCTTTCCGGGTCCACTGGTGGAACCTCTTCTAACCTGTTCGGTAGATTTGACGAACCGGTTCTACCGAATAGATGCAAACTGGTAGGAACCCACCTCTGCTCCCAGCTCACCTAAAACTGCAATTCCTGACTTGTCTGACATATTTATACAAACACTTTATAGAAATTTGATTCCAAGGAGAAGAGTGTTACTATCTTTGCCTGTTTAGCAAATTTCCCTCATGACGTACAAGTTGATATCCAAGATGGCCGTGAGAGTAAAAGCCAATTGTTCACAATGTACATAAAAGATAGCGAAATGACATGTTGTTGTTTAGTCGCTGAGGTAACAAAAAAGATTCTTGTTTCACTTTTGTGCAAATCCCTTTTTCAATAGGAAATGTAGAGCTTGCCAAAATACAATACATAAAACATCCCTTTCTTATTTTCCCCTAGTACTATTAATTAATTAACTGGTTTAGAATTGCAGAAGTAGTTTGGAAAAGGAGAAGGGATGCGTAAAATCTTTTCATTAGGGAGGAAAACATTTTTCCTAACTGAGTAATAATTTTATTGGAACCAAGTAAAATCAATACAACTCAACCTGCACATTTCAGCTCTCTAGAACAGTCCAATAGACCATCAGGCTTTCTATATAATTTTATATCCTATCATCAAAGAACAGGTTTGGGATTTTTTTTTCCATGGATCATGAATCTTTGTTAATTAAATATAATTAATTCAACTATAATTCATTTAAAACACTTTCAGGAGAGAAGGATAAAAAAGGCTTGCTGAGATTAGTACAGGGCTGTGCAAACCCATTACTCTGCAAATGTTCCTTTTTTTATAAATATTTTTTTATTTTTAAACAAACACAAATGGACAGAACAAAAAACATAAAACCATCTTCCATTACAAATTATAAAAAGTGTGTCAATTAATTACAAAATTTCTGTGCATCCCTTCCATAGTCATCACTTACAATTAATGTCAAATCACATTACTCCACAAATGTTCTTGACTATACCTCCCATCATTCTCAGCAAGCATGGCTATTGTAAATTGTTATCCAATGCATTCAGAAAGTTTGGAGAAGGAGAAGGATAAAGGCAAAGTTAGATATGTCTTTGGGTTCTCTTAAACCATTTCTGATTACTGTATGCATTCCAACAAATATTTGTTCCAACGTTCTCCTGCGGTGCGTTAATGTGTTCCCACACTTAACAAAACAGCTCTCTTAAATTGGGGGATCTCACTATGACTTTAGGAATTTAGGAGCATTTTTCTTTATATGCTCTGTTCTGAACTTATTCAGAAGGATAAAAGCAACAGGATAAAAAAATAAGGAAAACAGACAGTCCCCGAAGTGCTGCTTCAAAGGGCATTAAATGTTTTATAATTGAGGCAAGTAACAAACAAATATAACAATAGCAGAGTTGGAAGGGACCTTGGAGGTCTTCTAGTCCAACCCCCTGCTCAAGCAGGAAAACCTACTATACCATTTCATACAAATGGTTATCCAATCTCTTCTTAAAAACTTACAGTGTTGGAGCATTCACAACTTCTGGAGGCAAGTTGTTCCACTCTATTAATTGTTCTAACTGTCAGGAAATTTCTCCTTAGCTCTAGGTTGCTTCTCTCCTTGATTAGTAGCAGGAGAAAATGGGGATATTAAAACATCCTTAGGAAACAGTCTTCCCATTGTGCCTAAGAGGACCTCCTATGCAGGGATGGGTTGCTGCCTGTTTTACTACCAGCGCAACACGCGTGCGCTGTTCAATTGTAAATTGTTCTTCGCGCATGCACAGAACAATTTACAGTGAACTGTGTAGGCTCAGTCACTAAAAACTAAAATGGCGGCGGCCCAGTGGCGGTGAGGGAACTGGTTCAGGGGCGCAGCAGGCTGGGTCACTGCTGGTTCTGCGACCCAGGCCTGAATTCCACTACTGGGAATCACTCTGCTCCTATGTTTCAGGGGTATTCACAGGATGTGGAAAAAATGTGAAGACTGTGATTGTGAAAAATGTGATTGAAGTTATATATATATATATATATATATATATATATATATATA